ACTTGGCAACAATTTCTCCATACATTTTATTTGTTAGATCAGGTTTAGTCAAACGAACAAGTACTGAGAACAAAAATTAGTAATTATAGAAAATTAAGAACATTATATAATATATAAACTTTTAWGTTATTTACATAAATTTATACATTATATATACATATAGATATAGAATTATAATATAAATACTTGTGTGGACTAAAAGTATAAATATGCATATATATTATAATTTATTAATTATTTGAATACAGTTAACTAACTTAAAATGGCTTTATTAAATTGCTTAAATTCATTGCTGAATGAACTTTTTGACCTTTTTCCTTTCCAACTGTACTGACAAGCTAACTGATTAGAAATTACATATGCTAGTGCATTGTTAACTACATCTTCGTAATCCGTTCCTCCCAATCTTTTGAGATCATTCACCGACATAATGTGTTATAAACAAATCCAATATGTTTAATATAAATAATGCTATGACTTGAAACATAAAAAGAAGATCATAAATGTCAACCTGAATTMATTAAATATGAAAAGTAGCATAATTAATACCAGTAGTGCTAATATAGTAATCATATATATAATTACAAATTATCATTTTTATGTTCTAACCAAGCCAAATAATAGTCATATAAATTTGTTTATAACACAATAACAATTAAGAACTTATTACCGTTTGACAATTATAAAATATTAAAATTAAAATATAATTTTACCAATAAAGTTAAACATGCAGGATCGTTTATTTTATTTTCAGCTGCTTTAAATTGATTATCAGTCAAATATGGGAGATTTGTATCAAAAGTTAGAGTACTGCTCGCAAGTTCTGTACTATTTAAACAATCGTTAGAAGATCTGTTTTGCTGTAATACATGTTCTTTGACATCGGCAATTTCTTCGCGCACTTGTATTATTTCTGAATTGATTTTTGAAAGCATTTTATACACTTCTTTAGCAGTAAAAACTAGCAGGTAGTAGAAATATGTTAAAAATGAAGCGGTTTTATCAATATTATTTAGTAATATTACCTTTCTCGGATGACTTATGTTTATTTCAGTTTGATGCATGTTTGAACTTAGAACTTCTGTAACAGTTTAAAATATACTAAATACAATTATAGAATAATTATGTCATGTAAATGTAATATTTAATTTAGTTTTAAAAAAGTACTCAGCAGCTATAGCTAGTGTTATGTTATAGTATTAGTTATCAGTGTTATATACTTTTTGTCAACGATTTAGGAGTAGAAATAATTGTTTCATCAGTTTGATCTGGAAATATTGATAGCTGTGAAATTAATGTATCTTCAATAAGTGTATAACTATGTTGTGCTACATTAAAATATAAATAATATAATATATTTATTTAATGCAGTAAGCAATAATAAGGCTTTTATTTGAACTGATGGGTATAGATACTACACATTTGTTCAAAATTAAGCAGTCATTATTGGATTTAAACTATTTTAGATATAATATAATTACCTAAATAATTACTATTCTCGGATAACTTATTATGTTTATTTATTTCAGTTTGGCACATGTTTGAACTTTCAACTTCTGTAACAGTTTAAAATGTACCAATTATATGTTAAGTGTACAATAATGAATAGTCATGTATATGTAATATTTAATTTATATTTTTTTTTAAATTAGGTACTGTTGTACTGAGCTAAAGCTGTATTATATAGTAATTAGTGTTATATACTTTTTGTCAGCGATTTAGGAGTGAAATTCTTTGTTTCCACGATTGGATCTGGAAACTGTGGAAACTGAGAAATTGTTACATCTTCATGTATATTATGTTGAGCTACAAAATAAAATACAAACAATTATATATTTTTAATTAATATATTGATCATTTTCAACTGTATTACTTTGGTCTTCAGAAGTTGATTGAGTTTTTAATAAATTTGTATTTGCCATATCATCATATTTATGGTTGCTTGTAGTACTATCAGAATCAGATTCGGACAAGTTATCAAACAAGTTTTTTTTTGCTCTTAACTGCCTTTTAGCTCGTTTAGCCTTAGGATCTGCATCACTAGCACTTTCTACTTCTGAATACTTTTCAGCTATTTTTAGTTTATGCATTCCTTCTTGGTATGTGTCTATGTAATAAATTAAGTCATGAGCAAAAGTTTAGGGCACAATACGCAGCACATAGTGATATAATTATAGAATACATTATGTTCACTGACTAATTGTTAAGCATAATATGGAAATTTAGTTGATATATCTATTGCATATTATTTATATAAATGTTAATATCATACTTGTTCTGCACAAAACTTTTTTGATAGGATATATTCCCCAAGATGGATCATTAGATCTAGGCACAACTTGACTTGACACCATTTTAGAATAAATCATTTTGTTTTCAATTAAAGGCCAATGACATTTTCTGCGATCTGCAGTTAACCAAATTGTAGGAACTAGATTGATGCCATCAGTAAATTCAACAACACTGTACTCCATAATTTATTGTATTGTTATAATACCTATTATTATATAATTATTAAACACAATTTAAATAGTATATTAAATGTTTACATTTTTTAAAGTTATTTCTATATTGGATATGGTATGTAATGTATTTACATTTTAATGTATTTTTATATTAGGGATGTAGTTAGATACACATTATATAGTAGCATGTATAGTACAAGTTTTAACTTTTACATATAATAACTAGGTACCTGTATAGATTATACAGGTAATTTATAAATTGTCTTTATTAATAGAATGAATAATAKGAAAATGCAAATATTTATTTTTGTAAGGCATTAACCAAGACTTGCATTTTATATCATCAATATTAAATGTAAATAACCCACAAGACCCATCCGAACTATTTTGATCTTTACTACAATAAATGCCTAATTTATCAGATTTGCAGGGAGAAGTATATAAGTCATAATTAAAATTCTTTAAATTTTCACCAATAAGGCCGCACCTACATTAGGTCCGCATTTCACCCGATCCGACGTTGTCCGATGGTCGGACGACGTCGAAAGAAAAACAAACATCTTTATCTTAATGTTGGTGCCTACAATTGAAACGAAGCTTCCAAATTCTCGATTCCCGACGACTCACGACACTATCCGATTTGACGGTTGATCAATCATGTTTGATTCCAGTCCAACGTTTCTAATCCGACGCGTAGTTAGTAAAGTACTAAAGTTAAAACTTGCTGTTAATTAAGTTAAATATTAATCAAATTTTTAAAAAATGACGGGAAAAATTGATAAGGAGTTGTTAATACAGCTTGTGAGAGATGAACCTCGTCTATGGGACCAGAGGGTGAAAGCTTRCCACAATCGTGATATAAAATTTGAGTTGTGGGAATCAATTGGAACGCAACTTCAACAAATTTCAGGTAATAATATACTTAACGAAATAACTACTAAATAATAAGTTACTAAATGGTACTATAAGCAGCGTATTCATCAAAATATCATGTGCCTCTACGCGCGGAAATAGAATCTTATGGCGTCACCGTATGTGAACGATGTATAGAAAACCCATATATTATTTAAATACGCTTGTAAATAATTTGTTTGTGTTTGATAATTATAGAGATAATAGTG